CTTGTAGTAATGGATATCAGGCCGTCAGTCAGTTTGATAGGCAATCATTGCCACTTGATCAAAACTATAAAGCAAGAACTAAAATCTGAACCTATTAGAGACCTAAGGCTCAGTTCTCTATGGAGCATAAAAAGAACAGAGATCTATATGTTCACAAACCAGTGTCAGTGTGTCTACTTTGTCCTTGTGTTCCTTTTAAACATTTCCCCCTGATAAAAAAAAAAAAAATACTCTCCACGAAAAGGAACTCACTCAGTGCTAACGAGTTGAAGAGAATAGGTTGTTGTGTCTGGCCTTTCTTGGGATGAGTATTTAGACCCCAGGAAGAAGATTCCTAGGGAGAACTGATGCTGCCAAATTTAGAAGCAAGGTGCCAATTGTGGGGGTTGGCAGGCGAGATGATGGGAAGTGAGCCATTGAACTCAACCTCATACAATAACCTTATCAGCAAACTCCACGGTAGACAGAAAGCAGCAGGAGCCAGTGGCTGCGTTCAAGGCTTTCCAGCGTGAGCACTTGTGTGTACATGTGCATGTGCACATATGTGATTGTCAGTGTGTATGTCTGTGTATGTGTCAGAGTATATGTGAATGGGGGTTGTGTATGTGTGTGTGTGTGTGCATGTGAAGCCCTATGGTCCACGTTGTGTGTAAGTGTAGGTCAAGGAAGCTTTCAAAGCCAAGAATAGAAATAGGCTCTAGATATGATCCTCTTTGACCTTTTTCTGTCAGGAGAATACCCTTTCTATTTTTTGAGAGTATTAGCCATATTCTTGACATTACACCTGGTGGTAGGGAGAGGTACCAAGGTGTAGCAAGTGAAAAAAAATGTGACTTTTCTGACAAGAAGGCCAATCTGTGTATCACCTAACGATAGCTGGCTGACACTTCTGCTCTACTTCAGTGTGCCTTTGGAATTATCAAAAGCAGCCAAGAACCTGCAACAGGAAGGTAGGAAACTGGGCCTTCGAGAAGCTGCTCTCATTTTAGCTGTCTCCAATGTCTAACTGGTGTCAGCAGTCTAGAATGGCTTTCCCTTTTGTTTCTTACTTGACACCTCTCACCTCCTCTGATTCCACATTAATAGACTGGGAGCATCTTAAAGACAGGAATTCTGTCTTATTCATTTCTCTATTTCCAATACTAACACAATACCTGGCATGAAAGTTGGACTCAATAAATGTTTACTGAATTGTAACAAATTTTTCTACCCCAAAGTCAGATTTCCCTCTCTCTTCCAAAGCAAGATGAACCCTTCAATTCAGCTATATGTCCACAAACTCATTCATGGTAAGGCTCAGTACAGAAGCCCTGAGCTGATTAATTAAATTGTCTTTCCAAGCGCCTCCTTTGCCCAACACCCTGAGGATGTCATTTCCCTCCTTAAAAGTCTGTAGTTAAATACTTATCATGCATAAATTGATTCAATTAATATTTTCTGAGGGCCTGCTCTGTGCTTGGCATTGTATAGGTTCTGTGGGGGAATATCAAGGTATATGAGACATAGTCTCTGTCCTTTGGGAATTTATCTTATATGACAGATAAGACATGACCAAATTACTCTGGTACAAGGCTATTTGTGATAAGTGCCATATGAGTGTTTGTCAACAAGGCGACAGTCCAGAGGCAGATGAGATCACTTCCCTTTGGTATAGTCAGTAAAAGGTACCCAGAGAAGAGGACATCCAAACTGGACCTTAAATGATGGGTGGGATTTTCATAGGCAAAGAGGAAGAACTTGGACGCTTGAAGTAGAAGAGACAAGGTGATAATAGTCATGGAATTAGGAATTTCTAAGAACCCCCATATACAGTGAATATACCTGTTTTTAAGAGGTAAAAACTTCTTGTGAATATAATGTGGACAATCTGTCAACTTATGGAGTACAGCCCCAAATGCTGTGCTTTACACATCAGACAGGCAGAATGTAGGCTGTTACCTAGAGTGGTGTATCTCCTGGTGAGCCGACCACAAAATGGGTTGTTCTTGGGTATGCAGGCGCCCTTCCCTTTGAATAATATGTCATTGCCTGTTTAATCGACAGCTGCATTTTAAAGAGAATGGGATGGAATGAGAGGAAACAAAAGTGAATTTTCAGCAGTTTCTTAACAATCGTATATTTCTACCAAGATTCAAAGTTCACACAAAAAAATTTCAACAAGAAACTTACGAATATGAAGTTTTCTCAACGTGAATATTATTTTATCTACATGATGCCAAGCATCTAGCTAAAATGAACAAAAACATTTAGCAAAAATGTTGCCTATTTGGTATTAACCTTTTGGAAATATCTAGAAATACCTGGACAGTGGGCCAAAGTTCTGTTTTCCCCAGCATAAAACAGAGAAATCAGCATCGTGTAGACACAGCCATACTCTACTAATTGGCAAGCCAAATCATTGAGCAGGCTCCCAATCAAAACACCAGGCATTTCTGCTTGAGTCTCTAACACCTCACTGATCTTGAGGAGGAAATGTGTGCTACAGTATGGGTAGATTGGATTTTTTATAATAGCGATTCACCTAATTTGCCCTCAATTTGGTACTAGTCATCCTGCTATGACGATTTAAAGGCACCATTCCCTTTTAACAGATCCATTTAAAGAGGATTCATATTTTGTCAGAAAATTTGATACCAAGTGCACAATGGTCTTAACTTTTCATTAGAATCCTGTACATAGTGTCGTTAATGCTAAAAATATTTGAAGTAGATTAAGAATAGAACAAAGAAATGAAGTGTCACTGTGACTGTGACGGGATATGAATATTAACGATGCTTTTTCTCATTCCTTTTCTCATATAGTCCCATCCCCTGTGCTTTTTGATTCCAGATCTTACTTATACTGCAACATTGAATACCAGCCTTTGGTGCTCGGTGATATGATACATATATAAAGATACAATTAATCTTTAGTCTAATATCTGTCTGAGGCATAAGGTGCTAAACCACAGTATTACGACACCCCACTGCCTAAGGGATAAAGTCCAATCTCCTTAGCCTGATGTATAAGGCCCTCCACAGGCTGCCCCCCATTGGCTTTTTCAAAGTCATCTCTCACTGCTCCTTTACATAAATCCTCTGCTGCAGCCAGCGCAGTCTGTTCACTGCGCCCCGAAGATGCCACGATTAGTCTTCCCTGTGAATATTTACTTATACTGGGCTCCTCATTTTAATTCTCACATCTCCCAACTTCTACCCATTCCTCAAGTCTCACCACCAATTTTTCTTCTACAAAGCTTCCACTAGCCACTCCAAGCCACAATGATACCTCCCTCTCCAAATTACACCAGTCTTACAACATATAGTCTTATTTAAGTAATATGTATATCTCCAACTATAAACTCCTTAAGGACAGGGAAAATGTTGTTTAACAACACTCTTAACAATGCAGCACAGAGCTGGACTAAATGAATCACTTATAATGTAAGTTAATGAGTAGATGAATGGCTGTAGATAACAACATGAAAATGCCTACATGTAACTCCATCATTCCTGCTTTGTTTTCTTTCTGTTGAATGCCTCCATGATTTTTGTCCTCTAAAATGTAAATATTCTTTGTAAAAAAAATCATCAATATTACAGACTTGCAGCAAAGCTCAAAACATTCCAGATGCCTAGATCTCTGTCCTGTGATTCCTACATAATAACGCCAATTGATTTCAGAGGATATTGTGTTGATCGATGCTTAGAGAACTTGAAAAACAGCCTTTCTTTTAATAATAATAAAGTTCTGAGTCTAGAAATTGATCAGTCAGTCTCTGTGGTATTTCAGGTGCTAAAGAAAAATAAAGCAACCAGAAAGTGAAGGTATTTCTTTCAATAAAAGTATATTAACTCAGCAAGAACTACAAACTCTCAGTGGACGTACCTCTAAAATGTGCCACTGACATACATTCTACATGCAGCATATCATCTATAACCCAATTTTGCCCCTCAGAAAAGAACACGAGAAATTTCACCGGAGCTTTAAATGTCACAAAGCAAATAAAATGTTTATATTTATAATAAGGAATCTCCTCTCTTCCTTAAAAACCAGTCTTAGAACTCACCTCCCCCAGCTGACCTGTCCCACTTCCCATCCTTACCTTTTACCCTCCCAGCTCAGAGGAAGAAATGCCCCTCCTCATGCTCAAGGGTACACCTCCACTTGTGTTCTCAGGATGCCTAGCGCTCCTGTCTCTTTGCCCAACGCTGTTTCAAATTAAATAGTCAGTGCCTTTTGTTTTTTCCCCCCAAAGCCCCAGTAGATAGTTGTATGTCATAGCTGCACATCCTTCTAGTTGCTGTATGTGGGACGCAGCCTCAGCATGGCCGGAGATGCGGTGCGTCAGTGTGCGCCTGGGATCCGAACCCGGGCCACCAGCAGCGGAGCGCACGCACTTAACTGCTAAGCCACGGGGCCGGCCCAAATAGTCAGTGCCTTTGCTATTTGGCCCTCAGCTTATACTCAGCTTCAAATACTTCACTTGTGTTCTTTTCACATATTCTTATGACATTTTAAACATGGCTATTTGGTCTCTCTAACTAGATTAGAAGTTCTTTAAGGGCAAGGACTCCTCACACAGCCAAGAGAGTACTATGGGGGAACAAAATTTGCCACCTCAAAATGTGACTCTTTGGCATGAAGATTAATTTAAGCTGATTATTTTTAAGAAACAGAAGACTCAGGAAGTTTTTCTTATTACCTCTCCCTTAACTGCCTAAAAAAATTTAGATAAAGGGCCTGTTCCTGGAATGGAGCTAACTACAAAGAATACAGACTAGTTGTGGTGGGGGAGACTCCGCAGGGCCTAGAGATCAGAGTCAGCTTTGTGTCCCATTGTCTCTGCATGGCCCAGCAAACATTTGTTTACCAGACATTTGCTTTTCCATCTCCATGTAAACTGCCTTCCTCCACTGTGAAGTCCCAAACCACTCCTCCTTCTCCTTAGCTCAATATGGCATAAAAGCCTCAACTGCTCGATTTGTCCTTTGGCCCCCCATATTCTTATGGAACCCCTGTACGTATGAAATTAAATTGGATTTTCTCCTGTTAATCCGTGACATGTCAATTTAATTCTTAGACCAGCCAGAAGAATTTAGAAGGGTAGAAGAAAGTTTCTTCCTGCTCAACAGTACTGAGTACATAGCAATCAGTGTTTAGCACCTAAATAAATTCACAGGGCTCAAGCACTGTTACTGCCTGACATCCTTTACCTTTAGGAAATGTGACATAACCATGTGGCCCTAAACTTCATCTCAGTCCTTGAGGCAATTCATTATGTAACAATTATGGCTTATCTTCTGCTATTCTCCTTCACATTTCACTCTGATCCAGCCAAGCAGGACTGTATCCCACAAACCACACCCCACCCCCACCCCCTTTTGTGCCTATCTACATATCATTTCCTTCTCCTAGAATATCTTGCTCCTCCCTCTCCTCCCCCATGCAAATCCTATCTACACCCACCTCTATTTCCTCTGTGAAACCCTCCCTAGTAAATCCAGCCAACAATTCTCTTTTCCAGCTACCCATTGGATTCATCATCTACCACTGACTTTGCTAGTTGATTTTATTTATACCTGGAGAGCTTTCCATTGTTCTCTATTGGTGCAATGCAGAGAGTGAACAGAATAGTAGCATCTGATCAAATCACACTTCCTCACCCCAAAAATGTTTAGTTGGTGTTGGAGAGCCAGTGAACAAAGTCCAAAATCCTTAACATAACATTCAAAGCACTCCACAAGAGGCTCTAGCCAACCTTTCCAATTTCTGACGAAACTCTAAGACTCCATCTTGGTCAGCTCAAGCTGCCATTAAAAAATACCAAAAAGTAGAAGGCTTAAACAACAGAAATTTATTTCCTCACAGTTCTGGAGGCTAGAAATCCAAGATCAAGGTACCAGCATGGTCAGTTTCTGATGAGAGCTCTCTTCCTGGCTTATAAATGTCTGCTTTCTCATTGTATCCTCACATGGCATGGGGTGGGGGTGAGGTAGAGGGAGGGAGTGTGTGCAAGCTCTCTGGTATCTATTATAAGAGCACTAATCACATCATGAGGGCTCCATCCCCATGACCTCATCTAAACCTAATTATCTCCCAAAGGCCCTGTTTCCAAATACCATCACATTGGAGGTTAACGCCTCAACATATGAATTTGGAACAGACACAATTCAGTCCATAGCAGACTCCCACTATACCACATACAATCACCCAAGTGAATAGATAAGTGTGTAGACTAAGTTTGTAGGCTCTAGATTCTACCACTCATAGCTGTGTAGACTTGGACAAATAACAAAGTATTTTGAGTCTTAGTTTCTTTATCTATAAAATGGGGATAATAATGGTACTCACTTCACAGGATTACTGTGAGGAATAAATGAGATAACTTACATAAAACACATAGCCAGTGCCTAACACGAAGTTAAGTGCTCAATAAACGGGCACTATGCTTATGATGTGCTCATCTGGTTTTTCCTAGAATATTTTCTCTCCAGGTCTGCTTATCTATCGCTTGCTACTAATCCTTCAAGACCCAACTCCAGATACTACCACTATATCCTTCATGAGCCTCCTCAGATCCCTTGAGTCAGAATTATAGTCTCCATCTTCTAATGTACTGTGTTTATGTCCCTATTCTGGCACTTATCATAGGCTGCCCCAGTCTACTTAGATGAGACATTTAAACACAAAAGCATTAAACAGTAAGCTCATGGCTTGGAGGGGCATGTATTACCCATTGTACCCAAGGTATTATCTTGCCCACAATAGGTACTCCGTGCAATGAACTTCACTGGGTTGAGTCAGGATATACCAGGTTTTAGTTCTGGTGGTGCTATCTCTATACAGTGGTAGTATTTTGAAGGAATCACTCTTACAGCTTTTACCTCAATTTTCTCAGCAATAAAATGAGCAGACATCCCCAGCTTACAAATATTACTAACTAAAAATGTGCACATTGTAGGAACTTCATAGAATCTGATTATGAATCCCAGCTCTGCCACTTACTAGCTGTGTGATCCTGGGCAAGTCTTTTACTTGCCTCTCAGTTTCCTCCCCTGAAAATAGGAATAAGACAACTTTCCTTTTAAGGATTAAAAAATGCCTGAGGCATGCTAGACTTAAGTTGCAACTCAATAAGTGTTAAGTCCTTCCCTTATTCTCCAGTCCAACCCTGGGCAAGGACACACTTTCCCAGCTATGCTTTCGTTCCTGCCTCCAGTGACCCTGGGGAACTCATTCCTCTCTAACATCATTGGTCACTTTCTTGTCTCTCTTTTCTTCCCAATACTCTTGCTTTCTGCTGAATTGCTTAACTCCATCCCTCTTCCTGCTATATCCTCTTCCCATATCCGTGTGACACTGGTAATAACCTGGAGCTGGGAAAATTCCTGGGCCCACTGGTTTACCACCTGGAGGGGTGGCAAAGCAAGGGTTTCTTCACACACTATTGACGATCCAGTGGGAAAGAGAGTGTTTCTGGAACCCACGGTTGAAACATGGAATGAATTTTCCCACAGAAGCATAGCTTTACATGGTCATTAGCATCTATGGTATTATTAATACAGCATGATCCTTCAGATTATGGGTTACATAGGCTTTTATAGGCTGGCCTGGGAACCTAATTACCATGGAGACCATTGTTTTCTGTGGGAAAAATGCATTCCACATTCCAAGCAGCTGACTCACAAGCATAATTTTGGAACACAAGCCACACATGAGTTACCAACTTTCTGTACTTCTTTCCTAATCTACCCAAGATCAAGCATAGAGCTAGGTACTCCAAAATGCTGACTACTTACAGAAACTGGATAATTTAAAAAATCACCTATAGATACCTGTACACACACCGTGCTCTCTTGCAACAGGTCTTTGAGCTGCACTTTCTATCTGGAATGCTCTACCTCCTCCATCTCGCCTGGCTTTTACCTTCTCTTCCTTCCAAGTTTACTGCAGCCTTCACCTCCTTCTCAAACTCTGATCAACTCCACTCATATCCTATGGGGCTAGATGCTCTTCTCTGTCCCCAGAGGCCCCACATTCACGCCACTCCCAGAACACTTATCACAATGCATTGCCACTGCCTAGCTATCTGTTTGCTTGTTTCTCTCTTCCACTTGAGGATAAGGACTTTTATCTTTGTGTCCCCAGCGTGTAGGACAATACGTGACCCTCAGTAGGCAATCAAAAAGAATTTACTAAATGATTAAAAAGCTAGGAGCTATGGATGCAACAGAAAACTCACAGGTCAACATCTTCAGGGACCAGAAGGTTGGGGGCTGGGAGAAGGGCAGATGGCTAGGCTGAAGAGCAAGAGCTAGAATAATGCACAGTCATCACACAAGGCACCACAGCTTAGATGCTAAGTCTTTCACAGATTCTGAGTGACTGTCAAGTGCTCAATATTAGCTGACTAAATTAAAGAATCAGATAATTATATGATGTCAGAACTGCTTGGGACCTAAGAGATAATCTTATCCTCCTTTCTCATTTTCCAGAGGTGGACATTGAGCCGCAAACAGGAGCTAGGACTTGCCATGCACCCAAACCAAACCTCCAAGAGCTCTCCCTCATCTAACAGCTCCCTTTTTGACCTAACAACCAGAAACAGTAAGATAACCATTGTGTTCAAGGGGTTCTCCAAACTGTTCCTCAGAACCGTCTACCCATCTGCTAGGGTCAGCCCTCTCTAGACATCAGAGCCAGCTCAAGTTACAAAACTTAAGGAAGAATAAAATCTTTCAGATATGGAAAGAGCACTTGAAAACCATCCAGCTCAAACTATTCCCATGCAACAATAAGAATATCCTCTGACAATACTCCTAACAAGTGTCAACCACTCCCTGCACAAATAATTGCATTTGTGCTATGTTAGATTTCCCAAGATTTCTGGCAGAGTTCTTCTATATTTATATTGATAATACTCTATAAATATTCTACTTTTATGTTGATAATATTTAACATGTATTTTCTAAAAGCATGGGTGTGGTTGCAAATAAATGGCATTGGAGTAGGCTGTTTGAGTAAGAAAAATGGTCAGAAAGTATATTGGTACTAATCTTATGGGACCACCATCATATGTGCAGTCCGTCATTGACCAAAATGTCGTTATGCAGTGCATCACTGTATTAGAAAAAGAAGATCTAAAATCAGTAGTGAAAATTTCCACCTTAGGAAACTAGAAACAAAAGAGCAAATTATATCCCAAGTGAGCAGAAAAAAGAATAAGAATTAGAGCAGAAATGAATATAATTGAAAACAGGAAATCAATAGAGAAAATCAACAAACCAAAAGCTGGTTCTTTGAAAAGATCAATAAAATTGATAAGCCCCTAGCCAGGCTAACTAAGAACAAAAGAGAGAGGACACAGATCCGGGCACTGGTAGAAATTTCCAACAGCAAAAATGATCCCTCCCATTGGTCATTTTTTTTTCCATCAAAAGAGTGTTTGAGGATTTCGGTGGGGATTTTCTAGTCAGAATAGTCAATGACTGCCTTGCAGAGATCATTCAACGCAGGCATCAGTTTGCTTTTCCATCCCTGTTTTTGTACGTGTTTTATGAGTAGTAAGTGATGGAGTAAAAATAGCACTGGACTAGGAGTCAGGAGACCTAGCTTCTAGTCCTGGATTTGCCACCGACCAGCCGAGCTATCCTGGGTAAATCATCCTCCCTCTATGAACGTCAATTTCCCCATCTGTAAAATGAGCAGATGAAAATAGATCAGTTCCCTCCAAGCCCTGCTTTAATATTTTTTATATGTCTTCTGGGTACAATTTCATTTGTCAAAAAGAATGCTAGTGCCTTAAAAATGTTCACAAATTATTGAACTGGAACGCTTCATGATTTTTTTCATGCTTAAAAATTTGTGATTCTTAATCGGCTAAGTTAGCACAAGGATCTAGAGATGCAACAGATTCAAAACAGGGACTATTCTCAGTAATTCTCTGTCAAACTAGAAATTGTTACTTTCTGAAAGAGAAACAAAGTAATGGATAAAGCAGGCTACCTAGAGAAATTCTTTCCATCCTAAAAGATGGTTTGCAAATGTGCTGCTGATGAGTTTCCAATGTCAACTCAATTTCCATCCAGACCAAACTATGATTAATGTAAGCTAGGCTGTGACAAGCAATGTCATAACAAGCGGGGGTGGGAGAGTCTTTGCATGGATTCTAGGGAGAGCCAAAGTGTGAGAATATGTCAATGTGCTCTGTCCAGGAGAATCAGTGCTCTGATTCTAAAAACAAATACCAGTTCTCTAGAGAGGACTATTTCTGGAGTGGAGGAGGATAATCTGTCACGCCACCAGAGCTTGATAGAAATGTCCCCAGAGAACATCAGATTCCCTTTGTTCTAACTCTATGCTCACAAAGTAATATTCTGATATATCATTTCATCTCCAGAGTGAACTTGCCAACCATGAGGGTGTGCCCAGTGCAAAAGATTGACACCAGCTATACTGCTGGATACAATTCTTATAATAAATTAAGAAAATGGACCTCTGGAAGATCAGAGTTGTCTGATTTTGATTAGCATGGGCAAATTGATCAAAATGAGTTTCTATTCTGAAAAACTAAGACACGAACCCAGGATCTGGAGTGGTCTCACCAAGAAGGGCATTCACCCATGCTGCCTAGCCTGAAATGGTCAGTACCTCACTAGCATCATTCCATCTCTTAACAGAAACTTCAGTATAGCAGATTGCCTGTATAGCAGATTAGCACTAATGACACAAAGAACATTTTCCAATCTAGACTCATTAACCCCATTATCTTTGCTTTATTTCAGGGCCATAGTTTCACTCAACTGGCCTGCCATAAGGTTCAAAGCCAATGAAGCTTCAATAAGTAACTACTATGTAAAAGGCGAAAAGTACAGGGGAAACTAGATGAAAGTGGTATGCCCAGATCACTGAAAATCTACAAAGAAACACTGCTGGAAATAAAATAGATGTGTGACGTTATTTCAAACTCCCAAGAACAGCACATATGATGTTGTATGATGTTACTAATCCTTGTCTACCTTTCTGACCTCATTTCCAGCCATCCTCTCAAGACACCTGCTACCCTCCGGTTGTATAATATATTTGCAGCTCCCTGTATATGTCCATGCTTTTCCTGTGTAGTTTCTTCTTCCTAGAATATCCTTCTCATTCTGAACTTTCTGATTTAGCCTGAAGGGAAGTAGAATATACCACCTCACAATATGCTTTTTAGGCATAAGGATTATTTTGAGGTGGTTATTTTTAAGAAACAGCAAACACAGAAGAAGCTCTGAAAACCAAGTAGAAGTTACTCTTTTGTAAGACACATTTACATTTATAAGGGAAATCTCCATTTGTAAGGATGTCTCCCTCCCTGTACCAGGAAGAGGAGGATGACTGAATAACTAGAAACTCTAATCAATGGAGAAGGCATGGACTTAAATCTGCATTAACAGCCATATCCTCCTTTGCTGTGCTTTGCCTGATAACCTCCTCCCCAACATCTTCTTTTGCCTTCAGCTGGAGATGGTATTTAAGATGTTGGCTTGGGCCATTTCAGAGAGTTACTCAGTTTTCCTGGGTCTCTCCCATGTATACAGGAGGTATACATGCTACTAAACTTCTGTTTGTTTTTCTCCTGTTAATCTGTCTTTTATTATGGCGGGGGGGTGGGTCTCAGCCAAGAACATAGAAGGGTAAAGGGAAAATTATTTTTCCTCCCCTACAAGCTTAAGCTCCTCCAATGAGAATGAGTTGTGTCCTCCTATGTGTCTCCACAGAACCCTATATAAACGCCTATATCAAAGCTCTTAGGTTACTGCATTGTAATTGCCAGTTTCCTTCTCTATATTCCCTCTTATGCCATCAGCTCCTTGAGAGAGGATGTAGCATCTTATTTATTTCTGTAGCTCTGGTTTCCTAATAAACAGTAGGCACCTATTAATATATGTTTGCTGAATAAATGACCAAATGTCTGTATAGGAAAGAGTACAGCAGAACACTAGGGGGAAGATCCAAATGTTGGGAGCCATGAGCTTGAGTTATAAACAATTTTGCTTCACATAGTCCCACACTGAACTTTCCGATGTGGTTTCTCCACGTCTCAAGCTTCCCCTCCAGCAGCTTTGCCATACTAAGGCGAAACACTGGAGATTTTGTTTTTAATTGTTGATCACTTTCTCAATAAAACTCAAAATAAATCATTCTACTGGGAGCAGAGTGCGCTCAATAACCAGAGGCTGAGTTAAAAGAAAGAAGAGAAGGGGCCGGCCCAGTGGCGTAGTGGTTAAGTGCACCCACTCCGCTGCTGGCGGCCCGGGCTTGGATCCCAGGTGTGCACCGATGCACTGCTTGTCAAGCCATGCTGTGGCGGCGTCCCATATAAAGTAGAGGAAGATGGGAACGGATGTTAGCCCAGGACCAGTCTTCCTCAACAGGAAAAAAAAGAGGAGTATTGGCATGGATGTTAGCTCAGGACTGATCTTCCTCACAAAAAAAAAAAAAAAAAGAAGAAGAAGAAGAAGAGAAAATCAACACCAAAATGGTCTAGAAAAAGGTCACAATGCCTTTCCCTTCCTCCCAGAGTTCTTCGCGAATTGGATCCCACATTCATCTTTCCTTCGGGGTATTTGAAATAACGTCAGACTAAGTAATAAATGTCAGATGAGCTGAAAAATATCTGGTTAAGAGGACAGCATTTCCGACACAGCTGAAGAAAGGCTATTCAAAACTTCCCACATAAATGTGGCTTTCAAACATTTATAGACCTGAGGCTATGTCGCACTTTCGGGGAGGATAGAGAGCATTTCTTTTCTTATTCCTCCTCCAACTCTTCAACAAATACCTCCTCCTCCTCTCAGTGATGTTGCACTTCAGCTTGTCCTTAACAAAAAGGGAAGCAAGAATGAAAGAAGAAAGAAAAAAATCTATCACTAATAGCCACGAAGTTATTGCTTCAAATGGCCATTTTTGAGTTAACTTCTATCATCTGTCCTGTGACCAAGTTGAAAAGTTTATATCTCTTTTTTTGAACGTGGTTCCTCTTCCCTCCAACTTGCTCTTCTCTCTTCTTCCTCTCCCTCCCTCCCCCACCCCTCTCCCTCTTAGTAACCTCTGGAGTTATTATTTTCTAATGTCCTTACATATTCTGTAATTTGGCTTCAGTTAGAATCATTGAATTGACTGTTGGTGCCATTTTTAATTTTTGACATATATTGATTTCAGTTTGGGGTACCTAATTCCATGAAATTACAGATAGATTCTGGTTTTTACACTTCAAAGTCAAAGATATATGTTTTGGCTATAGTGTAGATTATCCATTATTTTCTTGGTATTTCATTTTTATTACCTTAAAGCACAACTCTGTATGAAGAGTAAACTAAAATGATGGATGGATGAATACCCTGGGTCCTCTCACAGCCTTAGTGGGAATTTTCTATACAAAGCAGTAAGAGCTTGTAATGTTTGAAAGTCTTTCTGAATTATAGGGCAATGCAGTGTAGACTCTTGCATTAGGTACTAGAGAGGAATCAGGGGACCGAGGCTAAGGTAACTCATTTAACTCAGTCCAAAGTCAAATCAGGCCTCCCTCAGAATTGTGCGTAGGTCTGGCTGGATATGTTTGCCAGGTGTATCTCTGTAAGAAGAGCATGTACTTCACTTGAATATCACAGATTTGTCTCCTTCATGACAACAACTCCCTTTTCCTTTTCATTCAGCCAAGCAACCTTGTGCCCCTATTGTGATTTCCCAAATGAGACGCAAAACAACTATTCCAATCCTTTTGGCAGAAACATTTATCATTGTTAATTAATAAATTGGCTTTTAAACATTTCTATGTGCTGTGGTGGTATAAATTTCATTTCCCAGAGCTAAAGCAACCTGGGATAAACACCACCAAGTCAACCCACAGAACTAAAACCAGACAGAAATAGAGACCTAAATCTTCAACATTCCCATTATTTATGTTTTAATGTACAAGCTCCTTAGCATAGCATTCCACATCCTTCATCATCTGGTTTCCACCCTTCTAGGTTTAACTTCTATACCTCCCTTCCATTCTACTACACTTTAGCTACTCTAACTTCTATGAATTTGCTCATGCCCCATCCCTATGCAACCCTCTACTTCCATTGTGTCTAGTGAATCCAAGGCCCAGTGCAAATATCAACCATTCCATAAAGCCTTCTCCTAACTCCTTGACAGAACTGTTATTTCCTTGATGTGGTCATAGCAGCTGATTTAGATCTCAAATATAGTACATTATATTATAGTTATGTGTCTATCTTCCTCTCATGATTAAGAGTGTCTTGAGGACAAAGGACCATGTCTCATTTATCTTGATGCCCAACCCCTAGAATCAGAGTTAATCATACCCTCCTTTGTACTCCCATGGCCCTCTGGGCCTACCCCTATTTTCACACACAGTGCACTGTATCAAAACCATTTCTTTAAAAGTCCGTCTCTTAGACTGTGAGCTTCTCTAGATCAATGACTGTGTTTTGTGCATCCCCGTATCTCCAGCAATTAGCATATGAACAGAAACATAGCAAATGTTCAATAAATATTTGGCAAAATGAAAAACACAGAACTTAATATCATTTACACCATTTTCTGACCACCTGAGCCACCATCAAATGGGATAGATTAACCATTCACAATTTAAAAGTGATCATAGTGTGAACATATTGATCAAAGTTTAAAAAGATGGTCTAATCCCAAACATAAATATAGTCCCACCACAATCCATGAAAAACAAAACATGGAAAATCAAAGTAAGTCAACAGGTATTTATTGAGCACCTACTATGTGCCAGGAACTTTCTAAGTGCTGATGATACAACAGAGGACAAAACAAATTCCTTGTATTCATGGAGTTTACAATTTAGTGGGGAGAGAAAGACAACAACAACAAATTAAAAAAATTAAAAATATAGCATCTGACTGGAGGTAGTAAGTGCCCTGAAAAATAATAAAGCAGGATAATAATTCTGATAATTTTGATAATTCAAGGAGAAAATACATTGCTTTGATTATGTGACAGTTTCAAGCCTAGGCCTAATTTATAAGCCTTTGGATTCTGTAGGTTATTTAGGACATATGGAAATACAAATTGATGTCCTTAGCATTATCGATGGTTAATATAATCCACACAACCACTGATGCTAATGACAGCGTTATCAAACCCTGGGGGAAAAAAAAGAAGAAACAATGAGAAATGAAAAGATGGAAGGAAGCAAAGTGAAGAAAGGGAGTACAGTGCTTTAAATTTGCACTTTTCCAAATATGAATTTGCCCCTGAAATTCCCATCATAGGGCTACTGTATAAGCAAATCACCTTTGTAATAAAATCCGCTGGGCACTCTAGTACCTAAATCCAGATGGACCTAGCTTTTACCAGCTTCTACGGAAGAGATAAATATTAGAGCAAGATCTCAGTTGTATCATTCTTCTTTACTTCCATTTCTCATCACTACAGGTGTCTGCCATTTCCTTCATTATCACAAACCATCTCCCCTCAGGCAGTAGCAGTTATGTTTCTTTGAAATTCTCACTTCTTAAGAACCAACGCAGATCTGCTTTAAAGCAGATGCCAAAGTGCTAAAACATTGTTATTCTGTGGTATTTCCGGAAAATAAAATAATGTAGTTCTATCTTTTAATAAAGAAATTTGGCACTGTTATTATAGGCTTAGCTACAGTCCTCAAATCTTTACAAAGACATTAGTACTTTAAATCATTCAGCACACAAAGCACGTGTATATGTGTTTTGAGTAGGCCACAGCCAAATTGTCATGCTGATTGTTTCCACATAAATATTCTGACATTAAAACTAGACTTTCATATCTTAAGAAAAAAAGAGAGAGAGACATTCACCACAGAACAAAAGACAATCTGGTTACCTGAAGATATTTTTCTTTTTAAAATCACTGTGCATTTTCAAATAGAGAAATAATTTTTAGGTTACTTGAGAATATGTTTAATAACATTTGTGCCATGTATTTACTTATGTTCTTATAAAGTTTTATTTATCCAAAATGAAAAACAGAGTCCTATTTCTATGTCAGTTCTCTTTAAAATGGAAAAAATGGGATGACCTCTATCACCCTTTTTAAAATTCACATCCTCATTTGCACTTCAGTGACTTGGGGCTAAGCCCTCAGGGATGGAACCAACATGAAATTGTTAATAAGTATTTTGTAATTATTCATTTGTTCAAGATTTCCCCTACCTTCCCTGTATTCATTTAGAAACAAATTTAACACAAGTACTGCACATTCACTTCAGAAAAATTAGAGGACACTAATCAGCAGAGGAAAAGAAAATTAAAAACATACGTAATTATACCACCCAATGATAAACACTACTAACATTTTAGTATACGGTCATTCAACACTGATAGAGATAGGCATAGACAGATATATAAAGATATACAGATGTATAATAAAAATGGAATTGTAAAACTATTTTCCTCACTTAAGTCTATAGGGAACATCTTTCTATCTTAATAAATGTGGTTCTACATCATTGTTTTTAGTAGCTGCATAATGTATTCCACTGTATGGATAGTACACAGTTTACTTAACTACTTTCATATTATTTGATATTTAAGTTGTTCAGATTCTTTTCCTATTATATTCAATCCTGTTGTGTACATCCTTGCAGCTAGAATATAACAATCATTTATTTTTCGAAGAAAAAATGATAGAAGTGAAGGGTCAAAAGGCATGAAAATATTTAACATATTTCTTTTACACATATTGTCAAAATGCATTCCAGGAACATTGCCTGATTTATACTCAGCTGCCATTAAAAATAATAATGACAGTGACAATAATACTACAGCCACGTAGTTCCTATGCTGTCTCACCAATGCTCGGTATTATCATTCTTCTTAATATCTGTTCATTTGATAGGCAAAAACATATAATGTTACTGGTTCTTGCTCTTTATATCTGCATTGACAACAGTACGTATGATCTATAGCTTTGCTACAAACACTTTCAAATAAAACTAGGTCATCTTTACAGCCATTTTTTTGTTTTTGCTTATAGTAATGTCTTTTTGTTCTGTTTCCTTTTAAAAAATTTGTCAGTGATTCATTTTATTTACAGTGAAATCTTCTTACATAAGATTTTTTTTTTCCTTCAACTGAACTGCACTGTGAGCGAAAAGTTATTAGACCCAGATTTTCCATTTGTATTTTGTGAGGCAGTAAAACACTTCAGGACTCTCCCATTTTCCTTTACTGAAACAGGAGTGTTCAGGGCCATTATAAGTATCTGTGGGTGTCACTCTGTATTTTGTACTTCTAACACTTAGAAAGCTTTTCATACCTCATGCTGCTTTGCAGAGCCTTATATTTGCATTTTAAAAATTCAAATGGAAGTAACCACTCCCTTGGCTATTATATCCTGTGAATCAGAGCCAACCTGTGTAAATGGCAAGGTTGTTTGCAAAATGAAAGAATTAAACTGACCTGACAACTTGGGCAAATGTCACTCTTTACCCCATTGGCTGGGATAGAGGAGCTTGGTTGTCTATAACTGAGTAAATCCCATACAAAATAATGCAACATATAGCATTGTTACCTTAATGTTTTGTTTTGTTTCGTTTTTGCTTAGGACGATTCTCCCTGAGCTAACATCTGTTGCCAATCTTCCTGTTTTTGTATGTGAGTGGCCACTGACAGAGGAGTGGTATAGATCTGTGCCTGGGAACCAAACATGGGCTGCCAAAGTGGAGCACACCGAACTTAACCACTAGGCTACTCTTTTATTAAGGGCTGGCCCATCTAAATATTTTTTTTGAAAACGGTGTTGGATGAGAAGAAGGAAAGGAAATTAAGAAGTTTTGGTTACAGATACATAGGCATCTTATGCCTTGCCTGCCAGTATGAGACCAGCCTATGTAAAGATAGGTAGAGTTGGTAACATTAAATGAGTTAAAAATATTGAGAAAGAAAAAAAGTGAAGTAAAATGGAGATTTAAAAAAAGTGTCCTCCAGAGGCACCCAATGTATTCTTTAATAGATTTATTTATGTGGGGGGAAAATAAAATCCCTAAATACCAATGGTTTATACTAGATAGCATTCTTCATCACTATCCCTACTGACAACACAGATGAAATTCTTTGATCCTTTTGACAAAGTAAACATAACATTCAATGAATGGAGAAAGAGAAATGATCAGAAAAGGATAAAGACCAAAAGGAACTTCCAGATACCTAGAGGCAGAAAAGAAAGAACTTGTGGTTTAAAAGCAGAACAGATACAAGAGGTTGTAGGACCAAGAAAGGCAGTGATGTTCAAAAGAGGAGACAGAACAAAGGCAGAGTAAACAGAAAAAGTAGTGTAGAAACACCACCCACCTCAATGCCTACCCTCTCCTATACAGTCTTATAGGAAGTGTAGGAATCTAGCAAGTGAAAAACCTTACTCTAGAACAGCAGGCCAAACAACAACACTAAGATACAAACAAGGAGCTGTGCAGTAAATAAAGGAAAACAAAATGGTGCAGAGGAAAAAGTACTGAACAAGAAGCCAGGAGGTCTGTTGTGGCTTCTTGTACAACATGGGTGGATCTTGAGGGCATTATGCTAAGTGGAATAAGTCAGACAGAGAAAGACAAATACCATATGGTATCACTTTCTAAAATCTAAAAACAGAAAACAAAAAACCCCCTGAACTCATAGATACAGAGGACAGATCAGTGGTTGTTGTCAGAGGTGGGGAGTAGGAGTGGGAGAGATGGGTGAAGGGGGTCAAATGGTACAAACTTCCAGTTATAAAATAAATAAGTCCTGGGGATGTAATGTACAGCATGGTGACTATAGTTAGTAATACTGTATCGTGTATTTGAAAGTTGCTAAGAGAGTAAATCTTAAAAAGTTCTCATCACAAGAAAAAAAAAACACCCAAACCTTTCTTTTTTTAAAAAACACTTTTATTATTTATCTATTTATTTATTTATTTTGCTGAGGAAGATTTGCCCTGAGGTAACATCTGTTTCCCATCTTCCTCTTTTTGCTTGAGGAAGATTCACCCTGAGCTAACATCTGTGCCCATCTTCCTCCATTTTGTATGAGAGTCACCGCCACAGCATGGCCACCAACAAGTGGTGTACCCGGGGAACTGAACCCAGGTCACTGAAGCAGAGTGCACTGAAATTAACCACTAGGCCATGAGGCTGGCCACCAAAACATTTCTTAAGTATTAACTACATGCAAGATGATTGTGGAAAACACGATAAGGATATTGGATGAATGAAAAGAGTCCCTGTCCTTCACTCTGGTGGGAATGCTTCTTTCTCTCTCTGGAATTCCTGTTCTTAATCTTAGAGGAAATTAATTTAGTCTTTCATCTTAAGTATGATGTTGGCTGGGGAGATGCCCTTTATCATGTTGAGGAAGTTCCCTTCTATTCCTAGTTTGCCGAGAGTTTTTGTCAGGAATGGATGTTAGATTCTGTCAAATGCTTTTTATGCTTAAACTGATATGATCATATGGTTTTTCTGTTTTAATCTGCTAATGTGGTGAATTACATTGACTGATTCTCAAATACTAAACTAACCTTCAGTTCCTGGGCTAAACTCCACCTGGTCATGATGTATTATTATTTATACATATTATTAGATTCAATTTGCTAACATTTTGTTTAGAAATTCTACATCTATGCTCATGAAGGATACAGGTCTGTAGTTTTCTTGTAATGTCTTTTGTCTGCTTTTGATATCATAACAATGCTGGACTCATAGAGCAATTTGGAAATTATTCCCTCTCCTTCAATTTTCTGGAAGAGTTTCTGTATACTTGATATTATTTCTTCTTCAAATATCCAGCAAAATTCCACAGTGGAGCCATCTGGATCTGGTAAGGTTTTTAAGTACAAATTCAATTTTTAAAAACTAGATATTTGTGTATTCAAGTTATCTAGTTTATCTTACATGAGGTTTCGTAGTTTGTGTCTTTTAAGGTTTGTCCATTTCATCTAAGTCATCAGATTTATTGGCATAAAGTTATTCATAATTTCCTTATTAGCCTTTTAGTATCTATATAATATATAGAGATATTGCCTCTCTCATTCCTGATATTCTATTTTGTATATTTTCTCTTTTTTATCCTGATCAGTCTGGCTAGAGGTTTATCAATTTTATGGATCTTCTCAAAGAACCAGGTTTTAGTTTCATTGATTTTCTCTATTGTTATTTTTACTCTGATCTTTATTATTTCCTTTCGTCCATAACTTGGTTTAATTTGCTTTGCTTTTTGTGGTTTCCTAAGGTGGAGGCTGAGATCTTTGACTTAAGATCTTTCTTTTTTTCTAATATGGGCATTAAGTAATATGGATTTTCCTCTAATTACTTCTTTAGCATTATCCTACAAACTAGAATTTGTTTTATTTTTAATTTTCATCAAGTTCAAAATACTTTCTAATTTCTTTTTTGATGTATTTCTTCATCCATGGGTTATTTAGAAGTGTGTTATTTAGTTTCTAAATACTTAGGGATTTTTCAGAGATCTTTCTGTTATTTACTTTTACTTTGATTTCCGTTGTGGTCAGTGAATATACTTTATATGATGTGAATCCTTTTAAATTTGTTGAAACTAGTTTTATATCCCAGAATGTGGTCCATCTTCGTAAATATTCCATATGCACTTGAAAAGAATGTGAATTCTGCTTTCGTTGGGTAGAATATTCTATAAATGTCAATTAGGTCAAGGTGGTTGATAGTGTTGTTCAAGTTGTATATCCTTATTGATTTTCCATTTACTTGTTCTATTAATTACTGAGTGAGGGATATTGAAATCTCTGATCATAATTGTAGATTTGTCTATTTCTCTTTGCAGTCCTATCAGTTTTTGTTCACATATTTTGAAGCGCTATTAGCTACATAAAGTTCAAGATTTTTATGTTTTCTTGATGAATTGACTCCATTGTCATTATGAAAGGACTTTCTGTATTCCTGTTAATCTTCTTTGCTCTGAAATCTACTTTGTCCAATATTGATATAGCCAATCAGCTAGTGATTAGCATGTTATATGCAAGGTATTTTTTGTTAGAAAGGTATTTTTTTGCATCTTTTATTTATAACATGTTTGCGTCCTTATATTTAAAGTGTATTTCTTGTAGGCAGCCTATAGTTGGGTCTTGCTTTTTTATCCAGTTTGACAATATTTGTCTTTTAATTGGAGTGCTTAAAACATCTCCATTTAATGTGATAATGTGATGTCATTAGATTTGAGTCTATTATCTATTTGTTGCCTATTTATCCATCTATTCTTTGTTCTCTTTTTTTCTCTTTTTTCTGCCTTCTTTTGGATTCATTGAATATTTTTTAATGATTCCATTTTACCTCTTTTTTTAGCTTAGTAGATATAACTCTTTATGTTTTACTTTAGTGATTGATTTAGGGTTTATAGCATACATCTTTAAACTTAACATAGTCTACTGTCAAGTAATGTTATGTCACTTTGTGTGTATATTACAACAACTTTACAATTGCATACCTCCATTTCTCCCCTCCTGACCTTTGTATTATTGTCAAATGTTTTACTTTTATATGTCATAAACCCCATAGTACATTCTTTTTCATTATTTTGTGTAGATACAGATTTCCTTTGTGTAGATACAGATTTATATCTGGTATCATTTTCTTTTTGCTTGACGTACTTCCTTTGACATTTCTTATAGTAAAAGCCTGCTAGGGATAAATTCTTTGAGCTTTTTTATATCTGAAAAAGTCCTTATTTCACCTTCATTTGTTTATTTAATTAATTAATTTATTTTTGGTGAGGAAGATTGTCCCTGAGCTAGCATCTGTGGTAATTTTCCCCTATTTTGTACGTGGGATGCTGCCACACCATGGCTTGATGAGCTATTTGTAGGTCCGTGCCTGGGATTGGAACCCATGAACCATGGACTGCTGAAGTGGAGCACGCAAACTTAACCACTACACCACTGGGCCAGCCCCATTCACCTTCATTTTTGAAAGGTATTTTCACTGGATATGGAAATATAGGTTTTTGCTGTTTCTTTTCTTTTGGTACTTTAAAGATGTTTTTCTGCTATCTTCTTGCTTTCACGGTTCCTGATGAAAAGTCTGCTGCCATCCTTATCTTTGTTCCTCTGTGACTGTTTCTCTGCTTTCTGTCTGGTTCTCTCTTTATCAATGATTTAAGCATTTTGATTCTGATATGTGTTGGTGTCATTTTCTTCATGTTCCTTGTGTTTGAGATTCATGGAGCTTCTTGGATCTGAGGGTTTACACTTTTCATCACATTTGAAATATTTTTGGCTATTATTTCTTCAAATATATTTTCTTTCTTTCTTTTTTTTTTTTTTTGTGAGGAAGATCAGCCCTGAGCTAACATCCATGCCAATCCTCCTCTTTTTGCTGAGGAAGACTGGCCCTGGGCTAACATCTGTGCCCATCTTTCCTCCACTTTATATGGGACGCTGCCACAGCATGGCCTGACAAGCGGTGCATCAGTGCATTCCCGGGATCTGAACACAGGCCGCCAGCAGTGGAGAGTGTGCACTTAACGCTATGCCACAGGACTGGCCCCATCTTCAAATATATTTTCAATGTCCTTTTCTCTCTGCTCAGAGACTGAAATTATGAATAGGTGATTTTATAGCTTATAAGATCCATAAGTGATCTTATAGCTCACTGATCCTCTGCTCTTTATTTCATTCTTTTTTCTTGCAGTGTTTCATTTTGGATAATTGATGTTACTATGTCTTCAAGTTCATTAATATTTTCTTCTATAATATCTAATCTGCCGTTAATCCCATCCAGTGTATTTTTAATCTCAGACATGGTAGTTTTCATCTCTAGAATTTCAATTTGAGTCCATGTTTTCATCTTCCATGTCTCTATTTAAGTTTTTGAACATATGGGATATAGTTATAATAACTGTTTTAATTTGCTTATCTGTTAATTCTAATATATGTGTCAATTCTAGTTCAGTTTTAATTGATTGATTAAATGATTGAATAATTTTATCAATTTGAATGAATTTTCCTATTTCCTTGTATGACTGGTAATTTTTGATTGGATGCCAGGCATTGTGATTTTTTCCTTGTTGGATGCTTGATATTTTTGTATTTCTATAAGTTTTCTTAAGCTGTGTTTGGGGATTCAGTTAAATTACTTGAAAACAGTTTGATCCTTTTGGGTCTTGCTGTTAAGATTTGTGAGGTGAGATCACAGCAGTGTTCAGTCTAGGGATAATTATTTTTCCACTGCTCAATTGAAATCCTTATGTTTACTCTACCCAATGCCTTATAAATCTTGAGGTTTTCTGGCCTAGCCAGTAGGAACAGGCACTATTCCCAGCCCCGTGTGAGTGCCAATCACTGTTAACTTCAGAGCTTTCAGATGTTTCCTTTCCGCGACCTTGGGTAATTTCTTCCTACACAAGTACTGATCTGAATTAATCTGAATACTCAAAGGGGGCTCTCTACACATCTCTAGAGTTCTCTGTATATACAGCTCTTTCCTCCTCATTACTCTGTCCTGTGAACTGTAGCTGCTTTGGTCTC